CATGAATGAAACGGCAATTTCTTCATTTCTGTTCTGCGAACGGCTCTTCAAGTGGCACTCGTAGGGATATCATCAGATTCATTATGCTGGGAAACTAGGTACTCGTAGGGACCGATGGCAACCCCACGTCGCGCCCGACGCCCCTTCTCTCTTTATCTAAGCTGCGTCGTTCTCACCGAGGTAGTCGTAGACGAGACGGAACTCAACCTTCTTGTCGTCCTTGGCAACGACAATGTTGCGGGCATAGCGCCTCTGCCCATCAATCTCCTGGAAGCCCCAGATCTGGGTAGCCGTCCAGCCGTTGTCGACATTTTCGACGTGGCTGTAGACGTGGCTCTTGCCCTGGGGGCCGGTGCTCTCGGCGTCGCCCTCGAGCCAGCCCTTCTTCAGGAACTCGTCCTCAATCTCGGCGGGGGACCGCCAGTCGCTCTGGCCGCGGCAGCTGCCGAAGAGCCAGTCCGCATGCTCGCGGAACTCAAGGTCGAGGCAGCGGTTCTCCGTGGTGCCCTTGACACCGCCCGTGGCGGTCTGGTCAATGTCGATGTGAGTGACAGGGTCCGTGGCGGTGGACGGAGGCTTGGGTGCTCCCTCGTACTGCTTGACGTGGAGGGTTAGGGTCGCCAGGCCAACAGCCTTGCGGACCATCCAGCCGATACCCTGGAGAGCGAGGGCAGGTTCGGGCGAGTCGGAGAGGGCTTTGTTCTAGAAGCATGTCAACGACTTGGGTTCTGGGAAAGGCGGGGTACTTTTTTCTTGTGCGGCGTTGCGCGGGGCACAACGCCCAATATGACTTACCATCTGCCACTTGCCCGAGAGGTTCTTGATGGTGATGTTGGCGGGAGCAGCCATGATGATGTATAGCCCGGGGCGACGACGGGATAATTGGTGAGTTGAGAGAAATGAGACCTTGCAGAGACGGTGCTGGGGTGATGTGATTAGGTAGGGAGAGAAATAGATGGAAGAAAGAGGAGAGGGCGGTGTGTTTGGGCGAGATGTTGTGTCAGTGTTAAGTACTTCGGGTTCCGCACTCAACTCGCTCTGTTACGCTTTCAGGAGGGTCGACTGTCACAAGAAGAAGTTGATTCACCGGCCGAGGCTCTTGCCTGAAGTGAGTAGGTGCGTCGAAGCTTCGGAGGGAAGGGACAATTGCGCCCGGGACTGTGACACTAGGTGCGGCGCACGCGCACGTAACCCCATGAGATCATCCTGGCGCTTCTTGGCTTGGCCTCGCGTAGCCCCGCCATTGTCTCTGCCCTCCCACTCTCGAAGGTGTGAGAAAGAACAAGGTAGCGTCCGTGTCGCATCCCACCTTCCCTCCGCCTGGCACGCCCCAAGGCCCCTAATGTTCACTGCCCCTGCGCCCCTGCCGAATCAGGCACCTTGCCCGTTCCTATTTGCGGGGAACAACCACCAACACCTGCCACTGATGCCAGTGCCTTCAGGTGAAGCAGAGGAAACAGCAACGTCTGGGTTGAACACGTTGAGTTGCTGCTGCCAAACGCTCGAAACAAGGCAAAATATCCCAACGAGACCCTCACCACATGCCCTTTCTCGCACAAACCACACTTCGAGCCAGATCTATCCCTACGACATGCCGCCGGCTACTCTCCATGTCGAGCAACACCTCTCGTCCTAATGACAGTGTCGCCAGCTCTCAGGAACAACACTAAAACGAATAACTAACATACCGACCCCTGGTCACCATAACCGCAGCAATATCACACCAGCCGAGGCACTCGACCATCCCGTGCTTGCCATGCCTCTACAACCCCATCAGTCACTCCTTTCCAAGAATGCCACCACCACCCCCCTTCGTCAAATGCCCTCCAACTGACCACTCACCACCCCCTCCAGATCATGGCTGGAGCGGGGTCATGCGACTGCGACCAACACCCTCAGTGGTCCAACAGCGTCCATGCCGCAACCCAAAACCAACGACCTCCATGCCTTGTTTGGTCCCTTTGGTCTTTGCTCACAGCCTTGGTTTGCCCTGCCGACTCCTGGCTTCTGCGTCCCTGACACACGAATACCCGCACGCAAGCACCGCTGCTTCGGCCCCGGATCACATGTGAAGACACACAGACGTCACGACCGCAAGGACATCCCTGCGACCCCATCCGACCCAGTGGCTTGCTCTACCCTCCGTTTGTCACGCTGTCCAGAGATGGTCTGCGACTCCAACTTGTTGTCAGCGGAACAAACGGCATATCGCGTCGAGCCGACCAAGAGTGTATATATATATATATATGCTAGTATTACGCGCTGTGTACAATGCCGGGGCCGGGGCCGGGCCGAGTGTGAAAGCAAAACATAAAAAGCCAACCGGATATCCTATGGTACAAGATGCGCAGGCAACCCCCCCCAACCCCCCCCTCTCTGGCCCTGTATCGCTTTCTTTCGTCTCTCATCTTTTTTTTGCCTCCCGCCTCTCGTCTCTCGCCTTCTCTTCGTTCTTTCGATGCCTCGACGGTCGTCTCCATAAAATCGTACAAGCGTGTCGCGTCTTCGTGGTCCTTGCTCCTCATCCCCCTTCATGGCCACCACTTCATCTTCTTGTAGCTCTCAATCACCTCGACGACATCTTCCCTCGTCATCTTGGGCCGCTCATATGAGAACCCGACGACCTGCTCCAATCGCGTGCCGTCCATACTCAGGTCGGTGTCCTTCAGCAGCTCTTTCTCCAAAAATGGTGTGAGCGGACCCGGCCGCGCGATGCCCGCCTTCTCCAGCAGCTCAGCCCACGGACCCAACAACTCATCGTTCACGTCGTCGACAACGCTGTCGATGCTCAGTCGCGCGAAGGTGCTGATGAGTTGGCCCTGAAAGCCGGTACCGATATCAAACACCTCGCCGACAATCTTAGCCATGGTACCCTGCGTCGTCATGCCCTTGTCGACAACGTTAAACGTCGGCACGGGGTTGCCGTGCGCCTTTGCATCCCACGCGGCCCGGCCACCAGAAGACTCGTACCACGTGGCCATAGACCACAGCGCGCGCGTCACATCCTTGATATGTGCCGTGTTGGTGCGTAGGTCCTTGGTCCAGAGCCACTTCATCTCCTCGCCGAGGGACTGGTAGACACGCGCCATACACAGAGCGGTCGCGACCCACTGCGAGGCATACGGGGCCGTACACATGGGCGAGGCGCGCAATGACGAGGTTGAGCCTGGCCACCCAGTTAGTGTCATGCGGGGGAAGAATGGAACGAATGCAGCTTACCCCTACATCTTGGAAAGCTCCTCCTCCGCCTGCAGCTTGTAGACAGCAATCTTGCTCCAGGGCTTGAGCTTGTCGCCCTCCTTGCTGGGAGCCGAGTCGGGGTTGTACACCATGCCGGTGCTCAACTCGACAAAGACCTTGATTTTGCGGCGGGCAGCCTCCTTACCGACGGCGAGTGACAAGCCGAGGGAGCGGAGCTTGTAGACCTCGTCCTCCTGGGAATAGCGAGTCTCGCCACCACAGTTGAAGACGGAGTCCCACTCCTTGTCACCGGGGCGATCAAATATGCGAGCCAGCGATTCTGCATTCGTGGTCAGTGTCGATTTTGGGGCCGAATCACGCATGATGAAACAGAGCAACAATGATCGTGGGCAGAACAAAGGACTCACGCTCTCGGGCTGGCATCGGCCTGCATAAACTTGTCACCGGCGCATGCTTCTTGAAACTCAGGTGCCAACCAGGCCAGCTGGGGCAGAACCTTATCGACGATGCGGACCTCGGAGGCGAGGTTGTTTTGGTGAATATGGAGGGCGAGGAAGCGGCCGATGTAGCCAAGGCCTCCGATGATGAGGACCGCGGGCTTTTCCGCCATGGTTGCGCGCGTCGGGATTTCCGGTGGGTGGTGAGGTCGATCGATGTCGCTGGGCGAAAGGGGTGGTTCGAGCGCGGGCTGCTGTGCGAGGTGCGAGATGCGAGGTGTGAGGCGAGGGGCGGGCAGGCGGGGTCGAGCGAGTGCCGTCGGGAGCTGGCAGGGGTGACGATGTTTGCTGGGTTGTCGAGAGGGGAAGGGGTCGCTGCAGGTCGAGTCTGGAGGTTGGGCACCGCGAATGGTCTTTTTCTCGTCGGCCGGTGCTGGGACGAGCTGCGATCTATAATCTGCGGCCGAGGTGATGTTGTGAGAGAAAGAAAGAGAGAGAGAACGAGAGAGGGTAGAGAAGGAGTGAGAAGTAAGAAGAGCTGAGACGGGACGACAGGCGGCCGGTGCTTTCAGATGGAGGGGCCACGGAGCCAGAGACGCACAAAACCACAGACACAGACACCAACTAGACTCGGGGCGCGGAAACACAGACCAGCAGGGAGCCAGT